TCTCTCTCTCTCTCTCTCTCTCTCTCTCTCTCTCTCTCTCTCTCCCTCTCTCTCTCTCTCTTTGATGAGCCCCACCAAGTCCAAGCCATCACAGCCAGCCAGCCCCGCTTGCTCGGTAGTGCCATTTTTCAGAAACTGAAGCGGAGTCTTGCGGCCTGGTCCATTCCCTGCCCACCCACCCCGATAATAAGGTCACAGTCATATTTCGGGGGTCAAAAGAAAAGAAGACCCTGTCTTATTTTTGGGGAAACATGGTAGTATATTTTTAAAAACCCTACTCAGAGAATCAAAATTAAGTAAAAATGTATTTATTTCAACTGAAAAATATAAAACAAAACAGAAGTGGCATAGCTTACTTATTGAAAAGGTGGTTGTCCACTTTTATCTTTGAATATGCTTTGAAGTCATCTGGCATCAGCATAATAGGGATTTGAACATGGCTCAGTTCATTGATCTACAAAGAAGACAAAAAGGAAATTAAAAAAAATGAAATATGAGAAGAAATTAATTTCTTCCTGCCTCAGTTGGAAAACATGAAGACCTCCAGATGTTGACTTTCTAACCATCATGAATACTAGTCATATTTTACAGGACACACAATTCATGAAATTCTTCATCTTAAAACAAACCAATTACGGAGAATATGTGAAAATTATTCCATAGTTGATGTGCTATAAACTATAAAATAGATTTATCTCAGTTTAGAAATCAGATTTTCCAAAATCTGCAGAATAATTTCTTTACTGCAGAAATTATGAAGTATTAGTATTATATTTATTTAGCATATTTTTATGTCTGAATTAAATTTGAATTTGTTGTGTTCATCTATGGCAGTTTAATATGCCGTTTAGTATTTTCTTGCTAATAATAAAATTCCCTCCAAATGTACAATGCTTTTTTTCAGCAATTATTAAATTACAGATAGCATTACTTACTACAGGGAGACAACAGAGAATCTACAACAATGGAGACAGGCACAGCAAGGCAATCTCTTGACTTGTCTTTGTTCTCAGGCAATGTTCAAAAGCAATGCTTCTTTAATTTAAGAATATCAAACAGAAAATAGAAAAAGAATCAATTGTTTCCAGATTTTGGTGACCGGCTTCAAGGAACCAGCCACTATTGAGGCTTTCTGTGCCAAAGGCAAAAATGGTTTTGCATCATCTGCTACTTACAGAATCAAATAGCATGAAAACAATAGTTAACTTGTGTAATAACAGTGACACAAATTAAAATAAATGGTTGCATCAGAAAGAAGACCCCCACATTTTTGCAAGGAAAAAGCTTATATAATAATAAAACAAAATCTGTGCTTTTCCTAGTAGAAAGTTAGTTTATAAAAGCATGTAGAAGAACCATTGTTAAAAAAACACAACATCTAGAGTTCACAACATGTAGTTAGTCCCTGTGGTCTTGAAATCAAACTATCAGGTAGCATCTGAAAGGCTTTTGCTAAAACCTTAGATAGCTACCAATGACTCACACGATATAAAGCAATTTAAAGCTATCTAAAATCCGCTCTGTGATATCTTGGATATATCTGAATGATAGTACAATTATAAGCCTTGTGATACTTTAAAAACTCTTTAAAGATTCCTTTGCTTAATCCCAAAATTATTAAATAATATATTTTTAGAATAATTTGTAGGGAAGGAGACAATATGCTATGACATGTGGGCTTATCTTCTAGAATATATATTCAGATGTCATAACATGTTTCCATATTAGACATTATAACGTCTGCATTAGAGAGATAGAATGTGTCTTTTTTACATTTTAAACATACATTAAGATTCATATTTAAAAATAAATTAAGATTAATTGCTCAGGGCACATTGCGACATCATTATGCAAACTCAATTCCTTTTTTACATATGTCTGCCATTGTAATACATATACAAACAGGTGTATGTTTGTTTCATGATGCACCTTCATCTAAGCCAGGAGTGTCAAACTCAAGGCACGGGGTACTTAGATCTGGCCATGTGACTGCCCTAGAAACAACAAAGGACTGACCTGCGGTGATTCTGCCAGCAAAAAGAAGGTCAGGAGGGTCCTCCCAAGCCCCATTTTCACTGGCAGAGGGTTACAGGAAGCTGTCGCAACCGAAAATGGAGCTCAGGAGCCAGTTTTCTCTGGCAGAATGCTCAAGTCACCACAGGTTCCCCCGACACGAGTGATATTGAGTTGGCCACAGCCACTCTGGCCACAGTCACTCTTCCCCCCGAGGTCAAACACAAACCTGATGCAGGCCTCAATGAAATTGAGTTTGACACCCCTAATCTAGGCTTAGATCATTTTAGAACACTAGATTTAAAAGTTAACATATTTTGATTAAAAAACATTGGCATGAACTCATCACAGCAGTCTTGCTTACCACGTGCTTGCTGTAAATTATGAGATTTGGAATCTCCACATATCTACAATCAATCCATACCTGAATTCCTATTTGGAAAGATTTTACATTGTTTAAAAGTAGTGAAATGGTCCTAGTTAACATAAAAATATCAAGCCTGAAATTTCTCCAATAAAATCTTGTCAATAGGGGCTTCACCTGTCATCCAGGTAACTTCTGGGATCCTCAAAGATTATATCCTTTCCTTTTTTTTCTTGCATCTTATTATACATAATGGTAACCACACTTGAAAATCCACTTCAACAAAGCATAAAGTGAGAATTGACATTTCTGGATAGCTGTATTGATATCAAAATGAACCTGTAAATTAAAGTCTTCTTCAATTTGATCTCAGTTACTGCTGACTCCATGATTATGGCTATGATAATTTTCATGGCATTAGTACAGAAGTTTTATCTTTTCTGCTTACCAGTTATATACTTCTGATTTTTCTTGGTTTTCACTATCTAAGTACAAAACAGGGGCAACTCTGTTTAAGGGTAATTAACATTAACCATTAACTATAAATCCATACCAAGCCAATTAACTGCATTAAAAAAGCATCTACACACACCTATTTCCTATTGTTTTCTGCCTTAGTGAATCTACCACACCGAGGCAGCTTCAAGCAGTCATCATTTTGCTATGCCTTCCTCAGTAAAATGTGTTTCTGGAAATACTCCAATCTCATTGTGTGACTTCCCTAACTAACATAAAATGGACATACTGTTACTATGGCAAAATAACCCAGCATTATTCATACTGGCACACTTAATTGTACTACTTCCTTTTTTGAGGGGAAAGTTTGTCCATCAGGCAAAAGCCAAGATGTGGGGCATCAATCTTGCAACGTATAATTGAGATTTTTTTTTCCTGCCTGAGAGAAGAGATGCTACCGCGCCTGCTTACGTACATACAGATTCTCTTTCTGTCTAAATCATCAGATAACTGTTCTCCTCATTTCTATCATGCATTATAATAATACTGTGGGGACTGTTTTCAGAAGATGCCTTGATTCTACTAGCTTTTCACCTCACACCAAGAGAAATTTTTTTCTATATCCCCTTATCTAGGTTACTCAGAACAGCAACACTTGGTGGCAGTTCCAAGACTGGGCCAAAAGTAGAGGCCTGGGTCTCAACTCCAATTCTACCACTACCACTGTCATGGGCCTTGGGAAATAACACAATGGCCCCCATGACCCGGCAGTCCCCAAGATCTATCACACACTGCTTACCTTCTGTTTGTGTTGACGGCCTCCTAAAATCTACCTGAGGCTACTTTGGGTTACATAAGGCTTTTGTTCTTGAAGTAAGCTTTGGAGAATGCTTACTTCAAGCCAAGGTGGCGCAGTGGTTAAATGCAGCACTGCAGGCTACTGCTAGATCAGCAGGTCAGCGGTTCAAATCTCACCGGCTCAGGGTTGACTCAGCCTTCCATCCTTCCGAGGTGGGTAAA